AAAGAGACTTTAGCATCTTGCCTCCATGTGGAGCAGAGTTGCCTAAGGTGTGTCCAAAGGAGCACTGATGATGGGCGGTGGGAGAAATAAAAGGGTCTATAGTCACACAAGTTTGAGAAACAAGAACTACTATAATCATGTTTCTGGAAGACTTCTCAAAGACTAATATATTAATTTCTCACTTGAATATCCAAGAGAGTTTACATAGTAGACGTCTCTCCCAGCCATTTCCACTAATGAGTTCTTAGAATTGGTCATCCTGAACTGCGTTCTCCAAGGTGGTAGTCACTAGCCAATATATGGCTATCAGACACTTGAAATGTGGCCTGTCTGGATTAAGACACATCCTGAGTATGAACCACAAAGTACAAAAGAGAGAATGTAACTATCTCAATAATAATTTTTTTGTAGAATCCATGTTGAAATTATATTATTTGGATACGTTAGGTTAAATAAAATGCATTGCTAAAATTATTTTTACATGTTTCATTTTAGTCTTTTAATGAGGATTCTAGAAAATTAAAAATTCTGTGTGTGGCTTATATCATATTTCTATTGGACCGGAAATGATCTAGGGGATAACATAATACATAAGATCATTTATTAATAGAATCCGGCACCTGCTTATTTCTCAAGCCCTATCTCTTAATACTACCTCACACTGGGTTCCAAACCATCCAGATGGCTTAAAGAAAGCCTTTCCTATTCCTATCAACCACTACCATCATCAATGCCAAACAGATTGACTCTTCTATTCTTTGCTCATTCCTACTGCTAGAATGACATGTGGCCAACTCTACTCAGCCTTTCTGTATCAAGCATCAGTCATTTCTACAGAAGTCTCTCTGAAAACCCAAACACATCTATCCTTTTACCTGATTAGATGCCCTTCCTTGATGCAATTGTAATTTCCTGGGTACACCTCTAACTTGAATTCACAATATGGTTTTGCAAGCATCTTCTTAAGTATCTCTTTCCAAACACATTGTGAGCATCTTGAGGGGTGAGAAATATCTTATTCGTTTTTATTTATTTATTTATTTATTTATTTATTTATTATTTATTTTTATTCCTAGCACCATAATAGTGTCTGGTATATTAGGCCTCAATGAATGTTTAGGTGAGTGAATGATTCAAAATTGAAGCAAATATGGCTCCTTCCCTATAGAAGCATTGTGTCACCACCAAAAATCATGCTGAGGCTTAGCCCCCAAGTGGCAATGATGACAGGTGGAACCATTCAGAGTTGAGGCCCAATGGAAAGCATTTGAGTGAGGGCGAGGGGCCTGCCTTATGGAAGGATTGGTGTCATTCTTCTGATACTGAGTTCTCACTCTTGCAAGACTGTATTATTTACCACAAGGGTAAAAGCAAGGTCACCTCTTTTGTTTTTTCCCTTTTTGCACATGCCTAGTTTTTCTGCTGCATGTCTGCATGTTTTGATGGCATGAGGCCTTCATCATAAGCTGCCAGATGCAGCTACCCAGTCCGGAATTTCACAGTCTGTAGAACTGTGAGCTAAATAACCTCTTTATAAATTACCCTGTCATGGGTATGCTATGAGATCAACAGAAAATGGACCAAAACAAGAAGGGACAGCAAATATGGAAATAGTGAAAACATATTACTTTAAATTATATTATAAATGACACTGGGAGTCATAGGGAAACTCTGAGCAGAAAATCTAACAGGGCTCACTTCATAGTTGTATGACCTGTGTGACCACAGAAGGCCCTACACTTAGAAGAGACTATTGCTTAGTTTAACATTTTGTAGTCATTCTGTTGAAATTCTTACTAAATCTTTAACAATGGGCTACATAATTTTTAGTTTTCTCTTGGCCCTACAAACTATATAGCCAATCCTGAACTAATCCATATAAGACTAGGGTGGGAATGGACAACCGAGGAAGAGGGTCCAAAAGAAAATTATCACTAGAGTGAATTAAATGAAGTGGGATTAGGGAAAGGGACCTGAGGAACCAATCAAAGCAAAGCAAAGGGAACTGCATGCACAAAGTCTTGAGAGTTCAAGAGAGAATGGCCTGCAGCTCCTCCAGGTTGTAGCAGAGCAGGCTGGTTGAAGCAGTCATGGAAATAAAGTCATGCTCAAGAATGGACTTCACAGAGAAGCCATGAAAAGGCTTTGTGTGCATTTAAGTAGAAGAGTAATATGTTTAGATTTGCGTTTTAGAAAACCCAGTCTGGGACAGTGTTAGAATGTTTTCTCCATTTCGGGACCAGCAGTTGGCATAATAGGTTTGTCACTGGACTCCCATGTAGTCAACTGCAGTTTGAGTCTTGGACCTGGTAGCTTAAACTCATGCTGGGTGTCTGTGTGTGCATGCCCAAGACCCCAAGAGGAGAATGGAGGAGAAGGGATTGCAGCATGGTCATCCCCCCTGGGCGGGGGGGAGGGTTGATATCTTGCTTTCTGTTTCTCTCTCTGTCTTTCTGGCGAGTGCATGCATCCTACAGCAAAAACCTCTCAAAAAAAAAGGAGAATGGAGGAGAAGGGATTGCAGCATGGTCATCCCCCCGGGGGGGAGGGGGCGGTGTGATATCTTGCTTTCTGTCTATCTCTCTGTCTTTCTGGCGAGTACATGCATCCTACAGCAAAAACCTCTCAAAAAAAATATTCCCCATTTGATGTTGGCAAAGAGAAGAAAACATGGAGAATAAAGGGTAGAAGAAAGAATGCCAGTAGTTCAGGTAAGCTAAGAATACATGGTAGGAATAGAAAAGAGAACTTAAGGACGCAGAATCAAAGGAATTTGGTGTCCATGGGATGTGGGAAGTAAGAGGGAAAGAATTTGAGATGACTTCCAGATTTCAGCGAGTCAAAATGTTTTAGATTTTTCTATGTACAGATTTTTTTTTCTTCATTTATTTTCTTGCCAATGGAGTATGAACAAACTTCACATATCTACATATTACTTTTTATTGCTGAGCTATTGCATCATCCAAACATGATCTTTGCATCATCTCTAGAATATGAATATTTCTATTATTGGGAATTTTGCCATGTTTTTTTGAAGGATGGGCTGGGTCTTGCCTTTTTGGCAGAGTTATTGGAATAGCAACAACAGACCTCTGCTTTCTGGTGTACAGTGAATACCCAGCAAGTGCCCTCTACACACAACAACTTTGTAGCAGAGTTGGTTTTTAACCATATTTGGACATTTTAAAAATGATCACTCAGATTAAGTAAGAACTAATTAGTGGAAAAGCAAAGATTCAAAGCTAGGTTTTTTGACTTCACATGTTATACTCTTTCCATCAAATGACATTTGCTTCAAGGGACCAAGCAAAGAAAAACTGAACTCACAGTTTAGCTTCATCTAAATATTTCTGGATTCTCTTCCTTCGCTGTCATTTTATGGTAAAGAATGGAAACAGTAAACCATGTAAGAAAGACTAGATTAGAAAAAGTCGAAGAGTTATAATAGTTAAATGACCACTGAGGTAAGGAAGGTTTAGGCAGGATAACATTAACATGGTCGTGACGAAGTCGTGGGGCACCGTGGCTGTACCACTAAGCTGAATGCACTCACTTGATCTTTCTTGTCACATCATCTTTGCCTATGTTTTTCCTTACAGCACTTATGCCTTTTCATAGCATCACCTGAGATTATTTTGGCATCATGGAACTTTGCTTATGTAGTAATAAATATCTAATTCCTGTAATAGATTATCAACACCTGGAGAAAGGACCACAGTAGTGTATTTTCAGAGCTGAGGACAAAATTGGTGCATAGTAATCACTCAATAAACTTTTTAAAATTAATGTTATCAAAAAGCCTGGCAACCAGAGGGTAATAACTTTTTAGCAACACAGTATAAACAAAAAACTAGCTTAATTTAATTTGTTGCCTTATCGACTTTTAACCATGGAAGGTGGTGTATAACTAATGCTTGAAGGGTAATTTTGCCATTTTTTTTTTCTACTGCTGATGCCGGAAGTCTTAAAAACATAAAAGGACTAAAGGATATCTTGATGAGCACTGATAGATATGCAAGTAATCCTAGAGCAAGGAGTTCTAAAGCACTAAAATGAACTTTATGAAGCCATGTTGTA